ACGATATATATCGTGCACCGTCTGGCCCCACCCAGGACGCGGCGAAACACAATGGGCGACAGGGCCCTCGAAGCCGCAGCTCCCCGTCTGTGGAATGCCCTCCCAGACCACCTTAGGGCCCCACAGACAGTGGATTGTTTTAAGAAAGGACTAAAAACTTACCTTTTTAGAAATTCCTACAATTGTTGATTTTAGATTTTTTTAATAGGCTACGTATGCCTTTTAATGTATTGATTTTAATGACTGTCTTTTTACTCTGTTTTTAATGTTATGGTCTTTTAAACTTGTTTTGTAGCACTTTGAGATTTGAAATCAAATGTAAAGTGCATTATAAATAAAAATTATTGTTATTATTATTACTCTGCTGCACCTCTCCCAAATTGTAGCTGTCCGCAGACAGTGCCGCAAACAGAAGGCCGGCCTGTTTTGTTTTTATGACCGTAATTGCGGGAAAAACACCAAAGTCAATAAGACAGTAAAAACTTGCTAGAATTGTGGCTTATTTGCTTTTTTGCTAACAAGTCCTCGGATAAGTCTGAAAAGGCGCTGAGTTGGTTACAAAACAGAAGCAGCCTCCCTGTTTTTAATACGGCCAGCAGGGGGCGGGGCTTATGCTGAAAGCAGCTACATGACAACATGAAGCTGCACCAAAATAAGCGAAATTTAGCTAGTGCCACAAGATAATCAGAAAAGGTTGGGAGATTTTTTACAAATGAAAATAAAATATGACAATGTGTTTAGTAGGGGTGTAAAAAAAAATCACATCCATCATGGCGATTCGATTTAGTATCGATATCCTGACCCAACGATTTGATTATTTTCGATACTGAAGAATACACCACGATGCGATTTTTTTTTTTTTTTTTTTTTTTAACACCTTACAGGCTAAACAAAGTTTAAAGTTTCAAATAAATCAATGAAACAGCAAATAACAGAAGTAGAAAAGTTGCATCAAAAAATACTGCATAAAATCAGTGCAATGTGTGCAACGCAATACCTCGGCTCCAGACGTCCCCGCCCCCTTGAAAGACGCTCAGCTGCTCCTCTCCCTAATTGTAGCTGACCGCAGACAGGAGGCCGGCTTGTTTTGTTTTTATGACCAAAATTGCGGAAAACAACTCGTGAAGTTTGACCCACTAGAAGAGTGAGGTGCACAAGAACGCTGGGACCCTTT